ATTTTGGGTTCAGGATCCGAGATCTTGCGATTAATTTTTGAATTTAGCAAAATCAATATCCAGGGCCGGCTTTTGTGGGAGTTAGCCTAGACAAATGTCTAGGGCCTCCAAATAATATGGGGCCTCCAATTTTTAAAAAATCAATAGTATGTACATTTATTTAATTAGAAATTAGAATTCCAAATACGGAGTAGGAAATAAGGGGTTATGTAAGAAGCATGTGTACGTGTTTACTATGAAAGTATTTTACATTTTTAAGAAGTATTTTACATATTAATAAACTGATGTAAGATCTCACATCTGTAATATTTCTTTACTTTTTTAGATTAGTTTTCCGTATTTTGGTTATAACGTTCATATGGAGTACGTAACATAGTATATTACAGATTATAAAATTATTATTTTATTCATTTGTGTTTCAAGTTATAAAAGTTATTATTTTTATTCATTTAGGTGTTTATCAGTTGTTCTTTCACAAATCACAATTATTTTGTTTGTTCATTTTGAATTTGAGCGTTTTCATCCCAAATACGATAGTATAATGGTTTCATTGTTTTTACTTAATTATGCTATAAAAAGCACGAAATCGTATGTTTGGGACTCATTATTGTTCGGTGATTTTGTATCGGAAGTTAAAACGTAACTAAGATGGTTAGAAAATTACTCCGTAATATACTTGTTGATTTTTGACAAAGAAAAACAAGATTGATTAGAACTATGACTTTATTGGATAGAAAACTAAGTTTTTAAATAATTAATTAAGGTTTGAGCTCATTTATATTTTCTTCCTAACCATTTTAGGAAAGGAATTAGAAAATATAGTTTGTTAGATTATATATGATAAAACCATGGCAAAAATAGACTAGCTAACTGGGTTGAGTATATTACCGATCAAGAAATAATGTTAATAGTTTTGATTGTTATAATGTGTTAGGATGTAATTCAATATTTCCAAATACTTTGTGAAATTCTAGAGAATTCTAGGACTATGTGGAGATGAGTAGAATTCTCTAGAATATTGTGGAATTATCTAGAGAAATATAGTATTCTCTAGATGTGTGTAGAATGTTATAGAATCTTCTAGAATATTCTAGTCTCTAGAGAAATGTAGAAATCTCTAGAAATGCCTAGAAATGTGTAGAAGGTTGTAGAGTAGTCTAGAATGTTCTAAATAAGTGTGGAGTCATCTAGATTCTTCAAAAAGATAATGGAAGCTTGTGGAAGCTCCTTGAAAGAATCTAGAATGTAGAGAGGTGGGTGGAAGATTCTAGAGAGAGAGCCTCTAGAGTGAGAGCCATGAGGAGGTCCTAGAGTGAAAGGCTAGAGAGAGCCTCCTCAAGTGATGAGAGAGAAATCCTTGAGGGGGGCTATTGAGTAAGTGAAGGCCTCCTCTAGAGAGGGATGTGAGAGTGAAGTAGTCTCATACAAAGAGTGATGTGAGCTACCCGTTTACTTGTAAAATATCTCTTGTACATTTCAATTGTATAATACAAAGTGATATTGTTAGATTAAATCTTTGTGTTACGAGTGGGTGGGTAAATGTACAAGAGTCCTTTGAGCTGGTGATCCTGGAAGAGGTCGGGGGTCGTGTTTTCCCCAACATAATGTTCCTACTAATTTTACAATTCAAAACACACAAAAAATACACAATTAGAATTTTCATGTATTTTTTATATCTATTTTAGATTGTTTGCATTCAATGAAATACTCTCTTACATACATAATATATATGGCGCATTTTGTGTATTCTTGGATTCTATTTGTTTCATATTACACTCTTTATATTATGTTAAGGAAAATGTATTGGAATATATTCTCAAAATTAAATAATATTTGATTGTCTAGGGCCTCAAAAGTGGACGGCCCTGTCAATATCCAATCCCATACTGATCCCACCCCAAACCTATGTTTAAAAAACCGACCCGACCCGGCCGGGTTGACCCGGACAAAAATCCGATTCAGTTTCTTCAAAACCCGAAAATGGTCAAAAACCGGAAAAACCCGGCTGACCCAAAAAAATCCGATCCGGACCCGACCCAAGAAACCCGAAAAACCCGGGAAAACCCGGTTTTCGGTTTTTTTCCAAAAAAAAAGTAATTTCTTTTTTAATTTTAATGCATTTTTAAACCAATAAAATTGCAATTTCAATTCCCTAAAAAGAAAAACTATGTAATATATTTATATATTTATTTAAGAATGAAAATCATGCCAAATTATAATATAAATGTGCAATACAAATAAAAATATATAATGAGAGTGTATATAATTATATGTTTATTATTATTATATAGACGTATAATCGTTGACCGGTTTTCCGGCTTTGACCGGGTTGACCCTCCGGGCCCGGGTTGACCCGTGACCCAGTCACATCAGGGCCGGCCTAGGGGGTGTGTAGGGTGTCCGACCGCACATGGCCCAAAAATATGGAAGGCCCAAACAAATAAATTAGTAGTAGTATTACTACTAGTCTACTACTCCGTATAAGCTAGTCCGCCCAATAGTGAACAAAAAGGTGCGGGACGAGCATAACAATCTGCGAAAGAGGAAGCACATAGGCCAAAGGACATAACGAGTGACTGAGCGAGACGAGCGACGTGTGGACGACTCTCCGTCTCCAAGCTCTGCTCCAGCCTCGAGCCATCTTGATTTCTAAGTTGCTGCGGCGATTCAGACGCATCTAGGACGGAAGGACTCCACTATTCTAGGTAAATTCGTAACTGATAGAGAGTAATGGTTCTTTATGAATTAATTTTGTAATCTGAGTTCAACAAAATGATATTAATAGGTTCTTAGAGCATCCACAATGCTAGGATTTCTAGTCTAAATTAATATTGCCAAATGTCAAATTCTTAAAGAGGCTTTCTATACACGTGTTAGGCAGTGGAGTGAGTAGACACGGACATACAAAAGGAGCTTCCAATGCAGAAAGTCCAAGACCCAATTTAATGATTTATACGAAGTACTATATGTTCTGCTTCTTCATACGGTCAAGAAGAAAATAGGGATTTTTTCTAATTCCTATGATTAAGAAAAAAAAGTGGCAATTTAATTTGTGTCCACCGCCAAGAACATACCCATCAGAGTCTCCTGGTGCAGAATCATCGCATCCGACGTTGGCCTCACCATCACCTCAGCGGCAGCACACACCTGTTCCGCAAGAGAAAGGGAAGAAAATCCATAGAGTTTGACCATAACTCCTGGAATCGACTTCTTTCTTCCATAAAACAGAGGAAGTTAAAAATTGACATGGCTGAAAAATTAAAAGCCAACCTTCGAACATTCAGAGTTCACTCCTTCCATCTTCAGCAATTTGAAAAAAAATCTCTGTAAAATAAGGGTCGTGTCTACATATGACTAAACTGCATGATTGGAGTTTAGCGGAGAAAAATTGACGTGTGCAGTTTTATCGGAGAAAAACGGAGAAAATTGATGTCGTGCAATTTTATCGGAGAAAATTTAATGAATCAGCCTGTGGAGAAGGCTGTCTACATTCACACAGTCCCCTTCACAGTGTCGAACAATTTTTAGGCCAGCTCAACAAAATCAAACTAAGGACTTGATGCATTGGAATACAAAATAAGTGCACACCGTCTACTTTGATGAGGTGGCTTAATATTTCTTAGACTAAACAGTCCGCATTGCGGATGCTCTTAGGCTGTTAAATTTGTTTTTGTTTCACTATATAACTTTATACATAAATAATTTTTTTCTTGGACTTATTACTGTTAGTTAATACTAGCAACTTCTATTTTGAAATAATTTTTTAATAAATTACTAATACTCCGTATTATCAATTTACCATTTCAATTGAAATAACATTTCTATTAACGATATAAAAGAAAGGCCTGATTTTTGTTGTTGCACAGGGCCCTCGTTTTCTCGGGACCGGCCCTGAGTCACATGACTGGATCACTCATCGGTCCGGTTTTTACAACATAGCCACTGGAGAGTCCATAACGGGATAGAGTACTCTCATGCAGAGTCCGTCCTACAGAATATGTTGATATCCTTTCCGTTTCTGAGTTGGCTTACGGTATCGGTGGTCTTTGAGTACTGATGATATGCATATTGATTGTGTTTTGTAATTGATTGGCGCTTCAAGATTGGAATAGCCATTCGGACCACCTCGGGTAGTCGGGTATGTGTAGATTGAGGATTCCTTTTGAATAATTGAATGTAATTAAAATGTCCCTTTTAAATGTCCCGTTTAATCATATTGGGATGTCCCTATTTAATTGTATTATACCTTATTTGGTAAAGTTTGTGTAGCTCAAAATCATTCTTACTTTATTCTGACTTTATCAATTAATATCAACCACACAAACTCACTTTTCTTAAAACTTGTGCCACCCTCCACCGGGACATTTAAAAGGGACAGAGGTAATACATTTTTTGGACTCCCACATAGGTCAAGACCAACGAGCGAGTTTCGTAATCACTATTTAAGGTTTATTAATCTTAGTTACTAGTATTTCTCAGCACTGACATAATTATCTTCTCCTTTGGCTTCAAGTGAAACACATTCCTCTTCATCTTTGGGTCCCCTTCAACTTTAGGGTGTTTCAAATTGATTCTACTTTTGCTTTTTTAAAATACTCCGTAATACGGAGTAAGTAAAATTATAATCAATTTTCCAGAAACAACTCTAAAAAACTGTTCAAGAAGCGCTTTCAAGCACTCAGTATTTCTGCAGTTTTATCCAAACATTCCTATATCTACTTCTACTTTTTGAAGGAGAAAAGCATTTTTAAGAAATAGTTTCAAACGCCCCTTTGCTTCCAATTACATTTAGGGGGTGTTTGGATCTGCTTCTTAAAATTGTTTCTGTTTCTTCAGCGAACAAAAGCATATATGGAGTGTTTCTGTGAAAGTGAAAAAGTATTTCTTGGTGCTTCAAATTCAAATTACTGTGAAACAATTTTTAGAAATTAAGAAAGATCTTTCTAAAAAACTGATTCTAATTTTTTTTATGTTTTTAAATGAGAAGCATAAGGAGAATCAACTCCAAAAACCTCATATTCTGCTTCCCATTAAATCTAATATTGCATCCTTTCCATTTCACTTTTAAGTTGCAAGGGGACTTTGCTTAAGAGTTTTTGAAGATGCAGCACTTCTTGAGGCATCCTTTCTTATGCCTGTTTTACTCCTGGTATATGATGTAGGTTATTGAATCACCAAACCCTCATTAAAGCATATTCCATCATCTTCATTAGTATATCCAGCTCTCCAAATCCAACTTATCCCTCATCAGACTCATAGATGCAATTGCGTCAATTTCTTCTCTACTGTTTATAGCTTTGTGCAAGATTTTGCATAAAACAATTCATGGGTTTATAATGACTCTGTAACCTGGGAATAATTATAAAAGATTGTTAACCAGTTTCTTCTACATGATTCACAAACATGAAAATAACATGCAATTGACAAGCGTACAGGGTGGTGACAACACCCCCTTTCGGTCGTTTGCAGGGAGTCTGTCGAAAAGGAGGGAAATTTTTCTATTGACCCGGCCCTGACCCTAGTCGACTCATCCTAAACTCGCCATCATACATTTGATTAACCCTGGTTTAAGGTGAATCCTCTCGGTTTTTACTTACTTCATCATGTTTTTTTTTTCATATTCTGCATTGGGATCTGATAATTAATCGTTGTATGAATAGAGATTCTTTTTTCATGTTTTTGCTTCTGAATTTCTTTATTTCATTCGTTATTTTTGTTGTAGTTGAGAATTTAGCAATGTACATTGGTTTTGCTGTGGGGTTTTGGATTATGTTATTCTATTTATAGGACATATTCATGTCATACTTTGCGTATACCATTGGATCTGGTGCTACATTGCTTGTTTGATTCAAATTTCCATTCAATTTTGGATTTTGTTTCCTTACAATAGGCAGTGATTTATTCTCTTTTTGAACTGTTACACACTGCTCTCGTGTACCCATCGTATTTTGTGGAATTAGTTTGTTCTTTTTCTCTAAGGATCTGAATTGTTTTAAACTCCCTTCATTTAGTTTGGTAAAAGGCTTATAATTTGCGGAAACTGTGTATGTTGGATGAAGGGTCTAATTTAGCCACTTTCACTTTTCAACTTTTGTTTTCAGGAATCTAATTTGCAATGCATCTCTTTTTAATATTTTCTACCTTTCCTTGGTTTTCAACTCTAAGTGAATAGATTTTAGATGATTAGTACAATGTCTATTGTTGAAGAAGTATTTTTGAGTTCTGTGTGGAATTGGGATCTCCTTTGCTGCAGCTTCTCTTCTAAATGTAGTTAGTAAGACATAAATCACTCATAAAAATCAGATACAGACTCGCAGTAACTTCTAAATTCTATTTTTAGCCAAATCCTTGGTCATATGCTTTAAAACTTGACACTGAAGCTTCATCCAGTCACAATTCTCATTAAAAGCTTCCGATGTGCTGAATAGCCGGAATTTGAACTTTAGGGGTGTTTTTGTTTCTGTTCATTGTCATATATTTCTTTTACTTTAATTTTGCATGCAACCGCATACTCGTGTCTATCTCAAATTATACGTGCCGTGTCACACCGTCTTGGTCCATTTTCATCAAGTGAATATGAGCCGTTGATCATCATATCTCGCTTACAGATGTCTATACATAGTTTTATAGTTGTACACGTTTCTTTCCTTTCCACTAGGATAAATACGGAGGAAGTTTGCCAATTTTAATATGTGCGCTCTATTTCCTTTTTGAATAATTAATAAATACTATTGCCAGAAGCATCTCATTGTCAGTATGAAGGCCCTCATTCTTGTTGGAGGCTTTGGCACTCGTCTGAGGCCATTGACCCTCAGTATCCCTAAGCCGCTTGTTGAATTTGCCAACAAACCTATGATTTTGCATCAGGTATTTTTTGAAGAATTCTATTTTTCAAATGTTTACCTTTGCTTATATCTTCAAATTGTTATCCTCATTTTATCAAATTGTAATTCTCAATTGCTTGTTTTCCTGAATTTGATATTCAGATTGAGGCACTTAAAGATGTTGGAGTGAGTGAAGTGGTTCTGGCTATTAACTACCAGCCTGAGGTTAACTACATATATAATCTGTCAATTCATATACCTCCATTTGGTATTCATATAACCTTACCTGTCTTATTCATATGATAAGTAGCTTTTGACTTCTCTAAAATGGAAGTTGCCAAACGCTTCCCCTTTCAGACAATTCAACAAATTCAGCCATTATCAATCCAATAACGATTACCAAACAGGCCCTTATATATCTATTATTCAACAAGAAGGGCATCTTTATATGCAGGTGATGCTGAATTTCTTGAAGGATTTTGAATCAACGCTTGGCATCAAGATTACTTGTTCGCAAGAGACCGAACCGCTTGGGACCGCGGGTCCCCTTGCCCTGGCTAGGGACAAATTATTAGATGAGTCTGGTGAGCCATTTTTCGTTCTCAACAGTGATGTCATCAGTGAGTATCCTTTCAAGGAGATGATTGAATTTCACAAGGTTCACGGAGCTGAAGCTTCCCTACTTGTAACCAAGGTAAGTTAGTCTCTAATTGCATCTCCCTTGAAAATTTCGCTATGTTTGATTCCAGGAAACAATTTTTTTTGCAGTGAAAATAAGTCTTCCTGTGAAAATAAGTTTTTCTGCATTCCATATATAATTGTTTTTGACTCACAAAAATAGAAACCATAGAACTGTTTCATCGCAGTTTCCAGTGCCAGATAAAACAAAATCTAGAAAATAATTTGCAGGAATTTTTTCCCCTGAAAACAGACTGAGCACAAATTTTAATTATCATTGTTTATACAGGTTGATGAACCTTCAAAATATGGTGTTGTGATCATGGATGACTCGACTGGGAATGTGGAGAGATTCGTGGAGAAGCCAAAAACATTTGTTGGTAATAAGATCAATGCGGGGATATATCTGCTTAATCCTTCAGTCTTAGACCGAATTGAATTAAAACCCACCTCCATTGAGAAAGAGATATTCCCAAAACTCGCAGCAGAGAAAAAGCTCTATGCCATGGTCCTTCCTGGCTTCTGGATGGACATCGGGCAACCAAAGGATTACATCACCGGGCTGAGACTTTACTTGGACTCTCTGAGGAAGAAATCATCGCCCAAACTGGCTTCTGGACCCCACATTCTCGGGAACGTGATTGTGGATGAGACTGCCAAAGTCGGGGAGGGATGTTTGATTGGGCCAGATGTTGCGATCGGGCCAGGCTGCACAATCGAGTCGGGGGTCAGGCTATCCCGCTGCACTGTCATGCGTGGTGTCCGCATCAAGAAGCATGCTTGCATTTCCAGCAGTATAATCGGTTGGCACTCCTCGGTCGGGCAGTGGGCCCGTGTAGAGAACATGACGATTCTCGGGGAGGACGTTCATTTGTGTGATGAGATATACAGCAATGGAGGCGTGGTTTTGCCACACAAAGAGATCAAATCGAACATACTTAATCCAGAGATAGTTATGTGAGTTATAGGGAGTCTCCCTTGGAACTTGTCTGTTGTTCTTGTTCTGTCATGTGGCTGTTCTCTTCTGTCTTTTTTTTTTTTTTTTTTTTTTTTTTTTTTTTTTTTGTAATTACCCTTCCATGGTTATTGTTTTCGTTTTTCAAAATGTAAAAGTTCAACAGCAGGTTCGGCCTTTTCTTTCATATTCTTTTTTGTGACCATTGGCATTTGGCGTCTTCTTTTTATTTTTCTTCTCTTTGTCTAATTGTCTTTATAATTTGACCTTGTATTTATGGTAATACAACATCTAATAAAAGCATTATTGTTATGCTATATACGCAAATACAACGCACGTTGTTTTTTCACATGAGCTATATTGTGAATCGAAATCACTTGCTGGTATTATATTTAAGACTTTAAGTTATGGATTGAGTTTAAATTGTTCTCCAGTAAAGGAATTGTGGAATTAGTTTGTTCTTTTTCTCTAAGGATCTGAATTTTTTTACTTCATTTTATTTGGTAAAAGGTGTATAACCTGCTGAAACTGTATGTTGGATGAAGTGTCTACCTCATTTTATACTTTTCTCGAATATTGAAAAGAGATCTTTTTAATATTTTCAACATTTGCTTGGTTTTCACCTCGTGAATAGATTTTAGATCATCATCATTATCATTTACCCTAATACCCCAATGTCACAAAAGCTCCCACACACGGTAGGGTAATGGGGTGTTGCCGTGTTGGATGTACGGAGTCTTAACTCTATATTGAAGCATAGGTAGATTGTATTGTTTCTGGATGATCCATATTGAAAATCACGTCCAAAGTTGCATGGAATGACTGTTGATTCATAACAAAGAAGCGCGTTTAGTTTAGTGAGTCATTTTGCTATATTTCATCATATTCTCAAGCTAATTTTTTTTTTTGAATATTTGACTTCATTGCAATCATGAATAGATTTTAGATGATTAGAGCAATGTCTATATTCACTTACAAAAGTTAAGCCCTTTATAGTTAGATTATTCTTAGATATCATCACTTTGACACAAATAAGGAAGTGACATATTCAAAACTCATTCTAGTAAATAATTATGAAATTGGACATTATATAAATACAAAAATACAACTATATAAGAAACTATAAAATTCAAGGGGAAAGAGTCGGATATGCCCTTGTACTTACATAAAAAGGTCAAATAATCCCATAGGAGGTTCTATCCGGCCGTCTCCATTTGGAGCGGTTCCCGGTGGAATTTTTTGATGAAATTTTTTGAGCATCTTATTCATTAAGTATAGTTTTCTCATACCAAATTTCAGCTAAAACTTTAACCGGGAAGGCATTCAAATGAATTCTTGAAGATAACTGTGTTGTTAATTAACTGCACATTTATCTTCAAGAATTCATTTGAATGCCTTCCCGATTGAAGTTTTATCTGAAATTTGGTATGAGTAAACTAAACTTAATGAATAAGACTTTCAAAACATTTCATCAAAAAATTCTATCGGGAACCGCCCCAAATGGTGTCGGCCGGACAGAGTCTCCTATATAAGGGATTATTTGACATTTTTTTATGTAACTACAAGGGCCTGACCTTTTTCCTTAAAATTCAACAAAATATAGTTCACGCATAGATAATTAGAATAGATTCACCGTAACTTCTAAATTCTATTTTTCGCAAAATCATTATTCATTTGGTTTATGACTTGACATTGAAGCTTCATCCAGTCACAATGTGAACTTTAGGGGTGTCTGTTTCAGTCCATTGTCATATGCGGAGTATTTCCTCTTATTTTGCTAACAAAAAAAAGTGCAAATAACTCCTTATATAGGATGCTCTGTCCGGTCGTCTTCATTTGGAGAGGTTCCCGGTGAAATTTTTTGTTGAATTTTTTTTACCATCTTCTTCATCAAGTCGAGTTTACACATACCAAGTTTCAGCTAAAACTTCAACCGGGAAGATAGTCAAATGATTTTCTGAAATATACTGCGTTGTTTAACTACGCAGTTATCTTCAAAAATTCATTTGGTTTCCTTCCCGATTGAGTTTTAAGCTGAAATTTGGTATGAGTAAACTAGACTTAATGAGGAAGACGCTCAAAAAATTGCATAAAAAAACTCCATCGGAAACCTCCCCAAACTTATTCAGTTATCCTTAGAGTAGCTGAAATCGTCGAACCATGAGGAATGAAAAACTTCTGCTGCCTATAAGGATGATATGGATGGATGAAAAACTGGAGTAAAAGAAAATCTCAACAGAAATTTTCTATTAGCCAAATCCTACTTAATTGATATTGAGGAAAAGTAAAAACATTACAAATTAAAAAGGAAGTCAAGCATGTTAATGGATAGATGTAGGATGTTGATTTATTGAAGAGCAGGACGGAAATGCCAGTATGCCAGATTAAAATGAAAGCAAGTGATGAAGAAGAAAGAGGAAGGGAACAAGAAAACGAGGGGAGAAAAAGGAGGGAAAAAGAAAGCCCCGTTGAAAACTAAGACTATATTTGTCAGGGATAAGTTGTCTTGTTTTTGTCCTGCTCAAAAAGTCTCTAAAAATTTTTAGTTATATGTTTGATATGACAACTTTAAAGAGCTTTTCAAAAATTAAAAGATCTTTTTTGAGATGCTACATGGAGTAGCATCTAAAAAAGCCCGTGACTTTTAGTACTCCTTAATCAGTCCTAACAGCTTGTATACCAAACCGAACTAAATCAAACATTCAGCTTTGTATCAAACAGCTACCACCTTTTCTTCTTAACATCTTTTTAGTCACTAAAAGCTAACAGATATTAAAAAGCTCACAAAATTATCTTTTCAGTTAGTTGTGTCAAACATACCCTAAAATGATTTAGAATTATTTTAAACGCCACATGTAATTTAACCTGTTAAATTAGGTCACCTTTAGGTCTTTTAGTTTAAATGATCATTTTTTAAAAGTAAATAGATGTAAATGACTCATTTAAGTATATGGAGTTAAGTGATTGGTGTGTGATACTAAGAGAGTTTATTTGACCCCTTTTCCATCTTTTTATTACTAAGGAAGGAAATATATTACTCCATCCGTTCCATTTTACTTGCCTTACTTTCCTTTATGGATTGTCTCAAAATAAGTGTCACATTTCTTTTTTTTTTGGAAAGAAATATGTGGTTTACAACATTTCGTTTTATTATACTCAAATCTCAAACACAACTTTTAATTTTTCAACCACTTTATTAAAAAATGTGTCAAAACCAAATGAGACACATAAAATAGGACGGATGTAGTAATAATTAAACTTCTGCATTGACAAATATGGAAATGAAAATGTTGCAACTAAAAAATAACAACAAAAATGCTACTTGTACACGGCGGCTTATACGCCTATTTACAAGTCAAGTGTCTTTTGTCTGTGCACAGACGATTGATTTTCATTTTTGTAAAGGGAACTGCATGCATGTGTGTGACCCGAACTGTCTGTGCACAGACAATTCACCTTTTCAGGGTCGCAAAGAGATCCCTTTACTAGAATGAAAATCAATTGCATGTGCACAGACAAAATACACTTGGCGTGTAAACTGACATGCAAGTCAACGTGTACAAATAGCATTTTTGAAAGAACAGAGAAAGTAGTTGAGTACCATTACTTTTCATTCTCTTTCGAACTTTTTTATAGGCCTCTCTTATTTTTTTCTATACTACGGAGAATTTATTATCCTATTATTTCACTCTTAAAGTCCGTGTCAAAGACTAATCTCAAATCTTTAGAGGCCGTTTGACAACAATATTTTTTGAATTATCAGGCTCATCAGCCATCTTTTTTACCAAACACGTAACTTTTGCGCGCTGAATTGTGTAATAAGCAAGAAAAGCAAGGTTGAAGTTACTTTTCTAACTGTGTTGGCTGTAGTTACTATAGATGATCACTTTAGTTATTTTAAATATAATTTTTTTCTTTATCTTATTAATAAAAGGAAAAATTCACATAAATAATCCCAACTATTACGGGTCTTCTAATATTAATCCCAAATATGCTTAATTCTAAAATTATCTGAACTATAACGAGCCTCTTCTTATAATGCACTGGTGACCTGCATGACCCAATCCAGCAGGTGACTGAGTACGTATATTATACAACCGGCTGTACGGTGAGCACCGTACAGCCGGTCCAGTAACAGGCCTAAGGGAAAATTAACAAAATAATTAACTGACATTTTTGTAATCAATGTTAAAATCACTGTTTCTGCTAAATGAGCATTAATGTATTGTTAATGCGCAATCATCCAATTTTGATGAGCATTAAAGCGTCCAATAATGAGCACCATGTTATTACAAAAAAGCTGATATCACAATTACAAAACGGTGACATTTTCGTAATTTCAGTGAAAGTTGCGATTTTCGTTAGATGAGCATTAATACACTTTTATTGAACATCAGACGTATCATACTGAGCATTAAGTGTAAAATAATGAGTATTGTGATATCAACTTCATATATTGTAATTCACTTTCTTTTTCTTGTTTTTTCTTTTATAAAATCTCATTAAATTATATCTATAATCAATTCTTATGAATTTCAATATGCGAACTAATATAATATGATACTTTTGAAATAATGCATTGTTATGACATTGAAAAATTGAGCATATGTAACATATAAAATGAGCATTGATATGAAATTCGTAAGATTTTTTTTGTTCATATTTTATTTGAGTATTAAATCTACTCTATTGAGTATTACTCATTTGTGTTTGCACATTCATTTTAGGAGCCATACTCATTTGAATTTAACATAAAACTCTTTGTGAGTTTTAAAATGAGCATTAAAATGAAATATGCGTCTTCTGCTAAATGAGCGTTTATGCAAATGTAGTAAGCATCTGATATATTTTGTTGAGTATTAAAAGCCTAACAATGAGCATCGTGATCTCCTTCTCATATCTTCGAATTCACTTTCTGTATCTAATTTTTTATTTTATAAAAACTTATTAAATATCTATAATCAACTTTGATGAATTTCAATATGTAAAATCTAACATAATATGATGCTTTTGAAATATGCATTGATATGACAAATTAAAAATGAGCATAACATGAGTATCAATCTAAGTAGTTAACTCGCTACTCGGTAGCTACTCGGTCAAGGGCCGAGTAGCGAGTAGGACCGGTTACTCGGGATTACTCGGTGATTACTCGGTCATGTATTAATTAAATATAATAATATAGGTGCCTGAGATTATAGAAATATAATAGTCTTAAAATAGTCTTTAAATTGTCTTAATATGCATAGAAGTGAATAAAAAGATAGAAATCCTATTATCCTAATGATGGAGTAGCAAAAGTCATAAAACAAAAGTCATAAAGCAGTCAATCATCTAATAAGTTGGTCTGATATTAATCTTCGTTGGGTTCAAGGTCGTGATTTCCTTCTTCCATCCTCCATGTCCCCAAATAGATCT